CAGGAAAATACTCTGGGGATAACTTACAAATTGGAAACAGGCAACAGTAAGCACAAGGAAAACAGGACAACCCTGGCAAGATGGACAGCAGAACAAAGGAAGGCGGTGCTAATGGAAAAACTGAACACATTAGGAGATGCTGGGGGTGCGAAATCACTTAGGATACAAAAAGTCAATTTGAGGAATGAGGATAAGATGGAATGGTGGATGATGTGCACATTTCTAGTTTGCAAAATTAGAAAATTAAATGATGGCATCAATTACTGAGAAGAAACAGGCTTAACAATAGTCTACTGAATTTGAGGCATCTGCAAAGCATCCAAATAGACAAGAAAGCAGCTGAATGTAGTTCAGTTCTGGAACTCAGAAGAAGTCTTTATGGAGATAAATTCTGGGATTTGGTCACTTAGATCTGGTGACTGAAGAGATAGGAGTGGGTGAGATCTTGCGGGAAGAGGACAGATGTGACAGGGCCCAGGGCAGAGCCCTGAAACTGCTCTTCTTATGCCTGAGCACAGCGGAGGTGGACAGAGAAGGAAGAGCCAGGGACAGCTGGAAGAAAGAACAACAAGAGTCAAAGTCAAAAGCAAGGAAAAAGTGTTTTAAGGAAAGTCAAGTTGAGCAGTCAAAAATAAAGAAGCATTTGGGCAAATAAGGCAAAAGGATTGTGAGTTCAAGGTCAGCCTAGGCTACACTGTAGGACCTCAAAAAAAAAAAGAGGAGGAGATCTTGTAGAATGGCTCATGATGTCCTGTGATGCTGTGACACTCAAGGGCAAAATTACAGAGGAGGAGGAGTAAGAGGAGAAGAGGGAGAATAAGAGGAGAAGGAAGAAGAGAAAGAAGAAAAAGAAGAGGAGGAAGGAGGAGGAAGAGAAGAGAGGAGGAGTAGAAGCTGTTGAAGTTGCTATAAGCAGCAATAACAGCAACTCTAGAAAGCAGCTATAAATCTCATGAAAATTCTTAAGAAGACTGAATAGTATGTGGTATAAGCAAGAAGTACAGAGAACCTATTCAGAAAGTTTAGCTGTGATAAAAGGGGAGGAAATGGGAGGTTACAAAGTCCAAGCAGGGGCCAGAGGATTTAGCTCAGTGGTGCCGCCACCTGCCTCTCAAGCGCAAGGTCCCGAGTTTGATCCCTGGTACCAAGCAAGATAGGAGAAAACTAACATTGAGAAATAAATGAGGTAATGATTCAAGGAACCTAGGACAGGGAAAAAGTGAAAAGCAGGGAAGTGTGACAGATTGGGAAGAAAATGAAAGGGCAAATAAGTTTAACACTGAAGAATAGGAAAAAAGGAATGAGAAAATTGGTATATCAAGATAGTAATGAGACTAAGACGCTAAAGTTCCATATTTCATAAAAGGAACAGAGGCAAATGATGATCAGGTTTAGCATTCAACCAATAGCAAGGTGGCTGAAGGTACGGTGGGATTGAACAAGGGCAGAGTAGCCGTGGAAGTCCCAGCAGCAGAGAAGGTCAAGGAAAGGGGGTGCAGAGTATCAGACAGGTCATCCACAGGGACACTTTGGGCATCTGACAGATAAAAATATTTAGAAAGAAAAGCCAGGTACCACAGGCTAAGTCTAATGTAGATGCAATTCCAGAAAGTTGGGATATTTAAGATCTTATGAGATACCTAGATATAATGTACCTCAAAGGAGAAAGGTTTTACACGATGGAAGAGTACTGGTTTGAAAGAGGAGCCAGGAGAATCACCCCAACTACAACCCAGTTGAAAGGGTAAAGCAGCTTCTACTCTGTAAAAAATTGGGAATATATAAGTTTTTTGTTTTCTTAGGAAAGCAACAGAAGGAAAATATTCAACATAACAAATGCCATGTATACAAAGCCCACATCTATCCTTATACTCTATGGTAAAACCTGAAAGCTTTTCCTCTAAGATCAGGAACAAGACGAGAATGGTCTCTTTTGCTCTTCTATTCAACATAGTCCTGAGGTATTGGAAAAGAAGGAAAAAATTAAGGAAACAATCCCTGGGCTGGGGGTATAGTTCAACAGCAGGGTTTGCCTCGTGTGCACAAGGCCCTGGGTTCAATCCCTGACACCCTAACAAAACTTAATGAAATAAATAAAACTTTAAAAATAAGCCCATTTATAAAAGGATCAAAAATAATAAAATACTTAGTAATAAACTTAAACACAATAAAAACTAAAATAACAATAGAAAGACATCCTATTCATGGATTAAAAAGCTTAATTCTGTTAAAATGCCCAGATCACACAACACATATCAAAATCTCAGTGGCACTTATGGTAAAAATTGGGGAAAAACCCCTAAAATTCAAATGGAATTATCTCAAGGAACTCCAAATAGCTGAAACAATATAGAAAAAGAACAAAGCTGGAAGTCTCGTACTTCCTAATTTCATGACTTAATACAAAGCTATAGTAATCAAAACAATGTGGTAATGGAATAAGGACAGATACCCAGACCAATGAAACAAAAACAAGAGAGACCAGAATCCTCACATACATGATTAGAAGATTTTTGGCTAAAGTACTGAAACCATGCAACAGCATGCTTTTCAACAGTGTCAGGGAGCCTAGATAGCCACAGGAAAAAAAATTAAGTTGGACCTTCATCTTACATCACAAAAGCTAACTTGAAAAATGGACTAATGACCTACACATAGACCTAAAACTATAAAATTCCTAGATGAAAACATATAGGAAAAGCATCATGACTTTGAATTTGGCAATAATTTCTTGCACATGGTACTAAAAGCATAGACAACAAAAGCAAAATCAGATAAATGGAACTACAGCAAATTTTAAAACTTCTATACAGCCAAAGGGCACAATTAAAAAACTGAAATAACAACATACAAAATGAGAAAAAGTATTTACAATTCATGTATCTTCTAAGGGTTTAATACCCAGAATATATAAATAATTCCTACAACTCAACGACAATTTAAAAAAATAACCCACTGAAAAGCAGGCAAAAGACCTGAACAGGGGTTTCTCCAAAGAAGACATAAATGACCAACAGAGCTGGGGATTTAGCTCAGTGGCACCAAGCCTGCCTTGCAAGCACAAGGTCCTGAAAAGACCAACAGGTATACACAGAAGTGCTCAATATCATTAATCATTAGAGAAACGTAAATCAAAACTGCAACGAGCTATCATTTCACACCCGTCAGGACGGCATTACTATCAAAAAACAAAACAGATACATTATTTGTGAAGACGTGGAGAAATTGGAACTCTATGCACCGTTGGTGGGATTTGTAAAATGACAGAGTTGCCATGGAAAACAGTATGGAAGTCCCTCAAAAAATTAAAAATAAAACTACCACATGATTCAGCAATCCCACTTCTAGGCATGTATCTAAAAGAAGTGAAGGCAGGAACTTCAAGATATGTGTACACCCAGGTTCAAGGCAGCAAGATTCACAATAGCCAAGGGGCAGAAGCAATGTCATGTCCCCTGACAGAGGAATGGAGAAAATGTGGTACATAAATCCAACAGGATACTAATTAATCAGCCTTTTAAAATAAAGAAACGGTGCCACATGTTATAGTACAGATGAACCTTATGGGCATTCTGCTAAGTGAAAAAAGCCAGTCACAAAAAGACAAATACTATAGGACTCCAGTAGTCAAACTACCGCTTGAGAACCAATTCAGAATGAGACCTTCACTCCTGCTGGAGACCTAATGGGCCTTTTTTTTTAAAGTCTCAAGACTTTAAAAGCAAGAAAGAGAGTAAGAAATTATTATAGTTTATCTCTGTACACATCCTAAACCGGGGACGCAGTTCCTCGAGTCTTTACCGAGTCATGGAAGCAGCATTAATCCCTGGTGGGAAGGAAGGTCCCCTAGTCTCGCTCAGAGTTCCTACCAGGAGGTACAGGAGCCTCTGCTTTGGGCCTCACATGTAGTTAGAAAAGAGAGAAGCCAAACATTACACACCTCATATTCCACTCATTAAAATATCTCTTCCACTCTTGTCTTTTCTTCTATTACAAATGGTCTGCTCTTTTCTCTGGACAGTAACTAACAGAATTCAAATGCTCAGCTTTGAGAATACTTTGAAAGGAAGGGGGCTAGGTTCCAATCTGTTACAGCTGCAAAAAAGTAGACACCACACTGCATTAGAAAGTTATTTCTGACAGTGGTAAATTGAGAATGTTCACAAAAGTAATAGTCTGAATCTCCTTTCCAATGTCGAGATTTCTAATACAAAACATAGCTATTCTGTTTTCTGTCTAACAGACCAATCTTTTAAAGACACCTGGATTTCAGTATTACTACATCATATTTAAGTTGTGACAAACACTTGATCCAAAAAGACTGCAATTTGATTGGCTGTTTTAATACTTCTAGGATTTCTGTACAAACACTTCTTTGCTTATTTAAATCTTATTACTATATTAAGCCAGAAGACCAGCTCTGGTATTTTCTTCTCCCTCCATGCCTGAAGGCTAATAAAATCCATGATTGCACTGAATTCTTTATGCAAACAAAAGGGTTGAGAGTCTTTGTCTCATTTAAATTAAACTAGGCTAATGGGATAGATGAAGATAGTCACATGGGATGAAGGATGGAGAACTAATAAGTGCCCAGCAGCTGGAGTGATGACAGATCAAGAGAACAAAAGAAAGAAAATCCCAGGGAGATACATGAGTTCCAATTCCCACCCACTCTGAACTTGAGAAAGGACTTTACTCTCTTCAGGATGGGCCCTAATTTCTTCATCTCTAAAGAAAATGAAAAAAAAAACTTCCTTTCCAACCTCGCTATCATAATCTATTTCCATTAAAGAATGAGTGTTAATAGCTCCCTAGAGTTTCAAGGATATGCAACTAGGTACAAGACACTTTTGCTTTGTATTGTTTTTGGTTTGAATAATTCATTTTTTTACATCACATGTTTTATAGACACAAGCAGGGCTGGAAAGAATCTCAACCTCAGGCCTTTTGGGCTGTTCTGTGTTTGGGGTGCAGGTGGGAACGAGGATATCCATATTTACCAGTGTTTTCCATACAGCCAATGGCCTCCCCATGTCAGCAGGCAGAGCCCAGCTGTCGTTTTCTTCCAATGATTTCGAAGTGTTTTAAAGAACACAGTCATCTTCTCCTAGAGATTTTCTAGGTTGGGAGAGGCAGAAAAAGAAAAGAAAAATATAATTATCCCAGGTAATCATGTAGCACCTATTACTCTTTCCAATCTTTCATTCTTATTCTCTCCTCCCCTCCCTCTTACTTCTTTTTGATTGTCTTCTTTCCAACTCTGCTTTGGTCTCTTCTCATCTTTACCCTTCTAGGCTCATCACCATCACCTTCTCACCTGCCCACCTACCTATTAGTTTTTCTATATTGTATTAGAAAGAAAAAGGAGGGGCAGAAAGAGAAAGGGAATTTCCAGGTTTCCTCTGGTTTTTGTCTTCTTTCAGTCTCATACCACCGTTCTAAGAAAATATGTGCATCCATTTTATACATAAGGGACCCAACAACACATCAGTAAGGACTTACTCAAATCGCCAGGCCCTCAACAGGAAAGTAAGCAGAAAACATAAAAACAAAACTCAGTGGAGAAGTGCTATATAAAAATGCTCAGAGTAATCAAAGACAGGCAAATCACAAAAAACTATCATTACGCCACTTATAAAACAAATTTTTAATTACTATACTCATTGACGACAAAATACAATGAGGTAGACACTCATTATAAGAAAGGTAACACAATTTCACTCAAAAATATATGCTTATTCTGACTGTCTTCTTTGTGGCTCTTATCGCTTGATGATACTTATTTGCTATTCTGTTAATAAATTTATCCCACTGAAATGTAAACTCCACAAGAGTTTTGTTCTGGTCACTACTAGATTCCATGCCTCAAGTAAAATCTGGTACATTATGTATATTCAATGTATAAGTCATGTTGCAATTAAAGTTTGTTTTTGCTGAGATTTTTTTTTTTTTTTTTTTTGGATTTTTTTTTTTTTTTTTTTGGTATTCCCACAAACTCCAGTAAGCCAAAGTACTAATGACTATGCAGAAGGAGGTAAAAAGATCATGAAAACAGCTCTTTCCACTGAGAAGTCCAGTTCTTTCACAGCTCCCTTCATCCCACACTGATCAAAAATCCTCTCATGGAAAGAAGCATTCTTAATTCAGCAGCAATGAAGCCAGGGCCAGGAAGTCCACCTGCCCATGAATCCCGGACCCTGTCCAGAGTGGTTAAGAGGGTCCCGAAGGCCCATCTAATTGTTGAACTCCTCTCCACCCAGCCCTACACCACTCTTTCATTCAGGAGGACTTTGATGAACACCTATATACCAGGCTCTGTGTCAGGAGCTAGGACACAGGAGAGAAAGTCCCATCCTTAAGTGCTCACAATGCTTAAACCCACAATCACAACTCAACTGCACAGTGATGGCTGTGATGTAGTGGGATGAATGTTAAAGGGGGAGCACAGGCCCTGTCCACAAGCACCAAACAAACCTGGACTGAGGGGGCCATGAAGGGTCATGAAGCCATGAAGTGTCCCAAGTCCTGAAGACCAAGGAGTCACCAAGTGAAGAAGGAGCTATGCATCTGCCATGATCCAAATGAGTCCATCTGAAATCATATGTTCAAGTCCTAATCTGCACTGAGATGGTATTAGGACCAACACCCTTATCAATGGGATAAGTGCCCCTATAAGAGACTCCAGAGAGACTGGTTCATTCTCATTCTTTCTCTCTCCCTCTCCACCCATGTGAGCACGCAGGCAAATCGCCAAGTGTAAACCATGAAGAGGATCCCCCAAGGTGCCCAATGCTGGCACGCTGATTTCAGACTTAAGAGCTTCCAGAACTGTGCAAAATTTCTGTTGTTTAAGCTATCCCAGTTCATAGTGTTTTTATTCTAGCAGCCTGAATTGCTTAACCAAGGCAGGTTTAACTTGTCAAGCTTAACCAAGGCAAAAAGCCAGAAAGTTATGTTCAGAGAAACACAGGCAGATAGTGTAGGAGAAAAGAGATTGCTTACCCATCACTAGGTTCAAAGCTGAGAAAGAAGATTAAAGAGAGAAAGCATACAAAATTCCTTAATCCAATTTTATCTGACAACAGGAGCCTTCAAAAATGAAGGCCCAAATAGGAAAACCTATGTATTTTTATGCTAAGTTTGGTAAAAAGAATATAGTTGTGCAGAAGTATGATTGAACAAAGGCATAAATTCTAGCGGTTATAATAAAGGAACACAGCCAAGCCTGTTTGTTCGGATTCTCCTGTGTTCTCCCAACTTCAGGGACAAGAGTATCTCTTTTCTCCATGTACTGGATGGGCACCTTTCACATGGGAGTCTCACACAGAATGTCAAAGAACTCTTTCATAGTCTGCTTCAGAGGAGAAGAGTAGCAGAAGCTCAGAGAGCTATCCTCCTGCTTCTGCTGTTTCCTCAAATGCCAAGGTGCTATATTTTGTTGTAGCATGTCTTGAGCCCTGACAATGGTCTGATGTGGATGTTTTCAGGGTAGGTATGGGAGCAGGTCTAGCAGAGGGGTTCTGAATCTTTACTGTAAATCTTGTTAAAATGCACAGAACTTGTTAAAAAAAAAACCCAACATTATTTTGCAGCATTACTACCTTTCAAAAATGCTCATGTGTTCTGGAATTGAGCTGTCCTCTTCAATTTTAACAAGTATTCCTATAATTGTAATGGAGCTCAGTACCATACCAGACCTTGAGAAACACTGATTTCTCAAGAGAAGACAGAGGGTAAGAGATATGAGAAAAATTAGAAAAGACCTGGAACCCACACTAAAGACTTCAGAATATATTGTGTTGAAGACAATGAAAAAAACTTTGTGATTGACACAGGTAAGCGATATGACTGATCATACTTGAACTGTAGGAAGATCACTTTTCAGCTGACTGAAAAATGGACTGGTACAGTAGAAGCTGAAATCAAAGTTAAACCAAGCCATTAGGAAGTTACTATCATAATTTCTGGGTACCTTACAGTAGGAAGAACAAGCAAAATGGTGAGAGGATAGATTGGAGGTTTGTTTGTTTGTTTTTTTTTTTTTTTTTTTTTTTTTTTTTAACTATAATTTGT